CACAGAGGACTCCTAGCTCACCTGGAGACAGAGGCGCAGAGGAAACAGGGCTGGGTGGGGCAGGCACCCAGGGCCTCAACTGGCTGCAGGATGCGAAGAGCAGCAGGAGACCTTTACTCAAACAGTCACTCCAGCTGTGGTGAGGCCACTTCCTCCCTCCAGAAGACAGCAAAACGATACAAATACTTTACACAGCAAGAAGGGAGGGGCTGCCACCATCCATCCTGGCCTCTGTTAGCCCAAAGCACTGGGTAGGCAGCACTGTTTTACCAACTGACCTCGTGGGAGAGCGGTCCAGAGAGGGGTACCTAGAGAATCCTAAATTCTCCAAGACACAAAGCAACCTCCTCTACATGATGGTGACTCTGAACTCCACTCTCCATCCAACTCCTGCTGGACTCAAGCTCTAATTCACCAAGCTCATCTCTGAGCCTTCCTCTCCATGGCTAATCTGGCTCAGAATGCATTACCATCTCCAAAGCACTTCTCCAATGACCACATTCGTATTTCTCCTCCTTCCTAAACAACCAGGGCTACTTCTTAGACTAACCCCACCCAATACTCAAATACAATTCATCCACACTTGTCTTCTCCCTATGGCCCAAATACGTGGGTAACTCCACTCTCCATGTCAGACTGTAAGTCACCTGAGGACTAGCTGTACTACCTTTTGTGACTGCCTAAGAGCTTCAAACACAGCTAAGCCCAGGTAGAAAACCCTGGATGTCATAGACTGAATTATGCCCCCAAAATACGGGTCAGTTTGGCTTGGTCTGATGCTCACAGGTTTGACAGTTATGGAATAATGCAGTCATCACTATGCTGTGATCTGGCCTGCTCAGCCTATTAGTTGTAAAGGGATTAGGGTAGGCTGCAACACCCTTAGGTCACAGCCCCAATCTACTCTAAGGGGAGTTGCCCAGGGGTGGGGCCCACATCACTTTTTTTAATGTTTTATTGTGAATTATATGATAGTTTACATGGGAGAACATTAGTTTTACATTCGTTCTATCGTATATTGTTTCATTGCCATGGTTCCAATCCCCTCCATGCATCACTAACCAACCAAAGGGTATGCCCTGCAAGCCTCCCCCCTACACTATCCTCCTTCCCCCCAGTCTTCAGCACACAGTGGCTCTCCCTCTCTGGGTCTAAAGTCCTCAGCTGCTCCATCTCTCCACGTCATCATCTCTGCCTCCATCTCAGGCATCGCTGTTTCTCTGGGTAGGGTCGCACTCTCGGCTCTTCTCCGTTGATGGTCCTAGGGACCTCCGCTCCTAGACTGGAAAGTTGATCACTCCCTTCCTTGCTATAAAATGTCTACCTTTACATTTCCAACCCTCACAATCAGTCCTGATAACAATTATTCACTATTGTATCACAAGAGACCCCCACATCACTTTTGATCTTACAAGAGATACAAGGAGAGAAACAGCAAGCATTGAAAGAGGGACTTGACCATCAAGAAAGTAGAGCTAGGAGTGGAGCATGTTCCTGGGATGGGGCCCCTGTGCTGAGAACCTTCTAGCCCCAGGGGAAGATTGTTGTCAAGCCACATGGAGCTCTCCAAGGAACCAACACAGAAAGCCTTGCTAGTTAACGTCATTCCACCTGTGGCATGTCTTTTATAACAGCACTAGAGAACTAAGACACCATGTGGGTTTGTTGGCAACCTGACATATTCTAGAACTGACAGCTTTTAACTACATCCTCTGCCCTGTGAGAAGGTCTTCGATACACAACACGCACATGCTCAGCATGCTCAACGGCAAGTGTTCCATCAGTGCTCGCTGCCCAGGTTTGAAACTTGCTTAGGATGGGCGAGGCCCTGGTCTATTCTAGAGCGTTCAGAGAGGGCAGCAGTTCAGCCTAAACCACAACCATCTCTGGTTTCACTGTAAGGCAGACCCCTAAAAGATGCCAGAGCCGATGTGACCTCCAAATATACAATCTGGCTTCTTCCTTTGGGGCCAGGGTTGGGGAGAGTCAGAAAGCAGAAGCGAGGGCCTGCCAGTTATGATGTATAGAACAGGAAATAAACTCTTACACTGGTGTGGCTAGAAGAGAAAGGACAGAGGTGGGGGTATGGGTAGAAACCGCCACACTCTACCTCAAACCACCAGGGGAAAGCTTCTGGCACCGACTCACTTAATAACTTAAAGCTTTCAAGGGCTTTAGTAGATCCTACCTCCCTATATTCCCTACCCTTATATTTTACACTCCCAATAAAACCTGGCCCTTATCTCCAGGACTCTTTGAATGATAAACCAGTGTGCAGCAGTGATGGAACACCAATTATTTAAGGAATAGAGGGAGTGCCTCAGGCATCCATGGTGTAATACCGGTGTAAAAGAACATAGCTTGTGCTGGGCCAGGGAACTCAAGGAGGAATTTGAATGGAGTTCAAAACCTAGAAGCAGAAAATTCCCAGATGGCCGGGGATGAAAGATGGGCAGAATGCATATTTTGGTTCGGATGCCTACGTTGATCAGAGTCCTCCCACTTTCCAACTGCAGCCACAATATTGACAGGTTGCTAAGAGTTCCTCGAGGGCTGGAGCCCATCCCGGAGAAAGAGAAAAGCTGTATGGCTTGGCCTTGCCAGACCCACGGAGGAGAATCGCTGACCTCTGTCTTGCTCTGGCAAGAAGCCCAGATTTGTTATATAAAAGATCTGGCCTGCAGCTGGCACTTGAGTAAAAACGCACAACCTCGAAGAGACCATCTTTAAACCCAGTCAGAGAACCTCAAAGGCCAGTTCTGCCTGGAGTTGTAAACAGAAAAAGCTACCTGAGGTGTGGGATGACAGGATATGGCAAGAGTCAGAAACAGGTGGGCCACATGCCAACGGACCAAGGCGGGCACACAAGTGAGCCTACAAGAGCAGAGCATTGTCAAGTCCTCTTCCAGAAAGCTCTCCTGTTTGGACTGAGTTGTCCTCTCAGAAAAAGAGAAAGGGGTGTGTACTCTGGGCCCAAGAAGGGAAAAAAACAAAACCAAAAAACGATCTTATTTGTCCTTTTCACAAGATGTGGGGGACACTAGGGCCCTGGGCTCCCAGGAAGTAGGCCTACTGGGTCTGCTTCCTGGAGTGTTGTCTCCCTGCACACTCTGTTCACAGATCTCGAAAGGCCAGTGATTTTCACGGCAGTCAATTCTTACTGGTGCTAGGTGGGGTGTTCCCCTGAGAATTCTCCTCCTCCAGACTGCCAGACCTCTGGCCCCATCGGACCCCTTGGCTGTATTTTCAGTAGCCTTCATGAAATTGGAACCGGCTCACAGAGGCCAAAGTCTGTCCTCATTTCCTTATTCTTCACTTCAACATGCCAAGAACAGTACTGGGCATTCAAACATTCAGTAATAACATTTGAAAATAATTTCATAATAAATAAAAGAAAGGAACTGACGTGATCAGCTCAGAGAGGGGGTTGAGTCAAGCGAGCTGTGCTTTGAACTGATTCTAACCAGTTCATCATGGCCAACGCAGTGAAGTCAGCATAGAACCGAGTTTGCAAACTGTAGGTATACCAGAATAATAACAGGAAAACTGACAGGCGGAAGCCCTGGAACGGGAGACTTGGAAGAAGAGGGTAAAGAGTCTAAAGTGGGAAACTGGATTATTCCCAGGAAGGTGGAGAGTCCCACACATTCAAAGCAGAGTGGTCTGCCACCTGCTTTCAGTGGGGCACCACTGTTTACGACTCTGTTGTTCAAGAGATTTGGTTGCTATGCAAGATGCACACTGTCCTTATTTTCTATGAAGAGGGTTAAGCTTCTAGTAGGTTGTTGCTGCATTGAAGCATCACTAAGTCAGTTCCAAGCCATAGTGACCCTCTATAGGGTTTCCAAGGAGTGGCTGGTGAGCTTGAACCGCTGGCCTTGCAGTTCAAACCGAGTTTGCATTAGTCCACAGTGCCACACCAGGACTCCTCTAGCAGGGTATCAACCTGTAATTCTTTCCATTCAAGTTATTCCGTCCACATTTTACAAATTCAGGTCCACTGCAGTGTTCACTTGTCAGCCGTGACCGAACTCAGAAGAACTGGTTCAAAGCCCTGCTGCCGAGCTCCCCCACATGTAATGTCATTTGGTCGCCATGCCACCCTCCCAGAGGCAGAGCAAGCCTACTCCACCCACTCTGTAAAGGAAGCGCTCACATGCCCATTATCACCCAGGAGGAAGGGCTGACTCGGAGCCTGAGTTCCCTCTACACTCGGTTTCCTCTTGTTTGGGATGGCAGATAGAAACAACTCACTCCTTCTAAAATTGAACAGGAATGGGCTTAAACTGTGGCAAAAGAGAGACAAATTGACTCCTAATAGCTGCTGTCGAAGTCCTGGGTCAGGTTAAGACATACCATTATATAATTTCATGTATGCAGGAGATGACTTCCTGGGTCACAATCTTACCCCAAAACTGACAAGTAGACTGGGTGATGTGTGGATCTGCCTTCCAAGTTCAAGATTCTTAATGAACAAGCTGACAGGAAGTCAAATACTGAAGGAGAAGCTCCTAGATGCTATAGGACTCATATGGGCCTGGTGACATCTCAAAGTATAGGTCACCACTTGGGCTGGGAGTCCAGGAACCATTACCTGGGAACCCTACACTCCCACTGCTCCCATGGGACTCTATCCTGGCTCAGTACAGTTTGGGGCCACTTCGTTGAGGGAATGCAAACTCAATTGAATGTTGGCCCCCATTTAATTTTAGCAAGGTAAATCTCATCTAAAACCTAGAATAAACCCCAGTCATTCTTATATTCTCCACATATGAACACTCAAAGCCAAACAGAAAAGTCCAGGTTGATTTTTCTCTCCCACCAGTGAGGTGGGATACAAACTTATTTTCACGTAGGTTTACCATGAGAAACAACCTGAAATACTGGAAGGCTATGTGGTGAGTATTTTCATTTCAATGAAGACTTGGTAAGGAGAACAAAAGCCTCCTCAGCTAGCCCTCCCGATCCATCCTTATCCCAACAGCAGAGAGCTTTGTTACCTGGGTGGCTTTGTCATTGGTACAGCAGGTGAAGGCCCCATCAGCATCACGTGGCCACTGGCCCAGAAGGTAGGAGCTGAGGATGGTGTCCAGAGAGAATGTACGTCGGACCTGAGGTGGCTGAGGCCTACACACTGACTTGTCTGGGGCCACCGAACACGGGACGCTGGCTAGAAGAGAACACAGCCCGCACACCTTGGCATGAGCATGGAGGAAGGAGGAGTGGCAGCCAACCTCTCCTCGAGAAAGCCTTGCCTGACTGTCACACACTCACTGGTGGCCACCTCCCTTCTAGGAGACTCTGAAGAGGCCCTCAAAAGCAAGTGTGGTCTGACAGCTTTCCTGACTTCACCAGATAAACTTTATCGGTGAAAACAATTGATACATTTTAATCTGGGTTTAGTTATTACTGTTAAACGTCATCTAACTTCTTCCTGTTCCTAATGGACTCTGAACTGTGAACCCCTAGGTCTCCATGCTGAGTTTCCTGAGAACAGGGCTGTTTCCGATTATTAAAGGGGCACCAGAGTGGACAAAAACCAAGTTTCCTTTCATCTTCGGATCTTCCTCCTCTCTCAGCATCCCCCCCCACCCCCCACCCCCACCCCGCAGGCCTCCTATATACTAGGTAACAACCTAGGTAACTGAAGGACGCTCACACTTCCTTCAGGGGTGGTTTGCTCCAGAAACCTAAGAGAACATTATGATTACTTTCAATTCTCTAGGATCCAGGTTTCCAGTTTAGAAAAATATCCAAATCTTTTGGTTCTGTCTTTGCCTCCGACTTCTATCTAAATGGGACAAAAACAAGGCAACCATAAATCCATTCAAACTTTCGGGGAGAAGGTAAAAGTTTTCGATCCACTGTTAAGTTACAATCATCTGGTTGATCCTATTTTCTATGGTCACATTTAAATCATTTTACTATCTTAAAGTTTATAGAGGCTTTTTCCTTGGAATAGAACAAAATGCTTCCACCTTTAGAAATCCCTTGGTATTTCATGTGTGCATTAAGCACAACAAAAAGAGCCAGGGATTGTAGAAAGAAATAAACTTGGAGAGCTTTGTATTAAAGAGACACTAATAATACTACCTACATTCTCCAAATTCATGTAAGAACTTATCTACATTATGACATAATTATTAGCAGTATGAAATGTACCATATAGGATGTTCTGCTTTGTTCTACCCCTTCTCCAATATCCATTTCCAAGTATCAACAATCTACATAGTTGCCATTTTTTTTAACAACTACATGATATTCTACCACACTGATAACATAGCAGTTCGCTAAATCATTCCCATGTTGTTGGGGTACTTACGGCGTCTCCTCCCTATTTTGAATATCATAAACGTCAGCGCATGGCCAACTTTGTTACTCTTGGTTTTGTTTAATCACTAGTATATTTCTAGGGCATCTCCCTCAGCCCTCAGAGGCTAAATGCTCATTTAAAAATGTCTTCTAATTACAAAAGCATTACGTGTTTAAGTGTGGGCTATAGAAAAGTCAAAAAGTCAGAAGTTACCAGGGGGTTTCAAAAGTTCATGGAAAGATTCCATTATCTTTTCATTCCATTTTTCCATGAACTCTTTGAAGTCTTCTTATATATAAAAGGAAACCTCAACTCTCAAAAAACAAAACAAAAAAACACCCAAAAAACTTCAACTCTGAACACCCAGAGACAGCTACTATTAAAACTATGATACAGACATACATATAAGTATACATATCTATGTGTGAGGGGGCTTCAGAAAGTTTATGGAAATCAGAATGAAAAGATAATGAAACTTCTCATGAACTTTTGGAAGCCCCCTCACATATCATAGTGTACATGTACATAAACCCAACGCCTCACTTATTCAACAAGATTAGCTTCCAAAGACTGAATTGTTACATGAAAATTGGTGCTGTGCAAAAATGGAGGATGATGACATCAGATCACGAAGTGGAGGGTGGTTACATCATTCTGTAACTGCCAAATTTCACCATTCCATAACTGCCAAGCCACGGAGAATCATGGCCCAGCCAAGCTGACACGTATCTTTAACCATCAGTCAGCATGACTTTCATCTTGCATTCGTACTGCCAGATGTTTTGTTGTTAATGAACAAAATAGCCAGAGAGTAGATTTTTTACTATTGTAGTACATGTAAAATGCCAAAAACAAGATAATCGATAAATGAGAGGTAGTGTATTGCATACTTAATACTATGGTATAGATGCATATATGACCTCTCCTTGTAAGTCTTACTTTCTGCTTGTACATATGTGCTTTAAAGCAAAATGGGACCATACGACACATATTGTCTTACGATGTTCTCACCTTATATCAAACATTTTCAATATCAATAAATATTGACCTTCAACATGTTACTTAAAATGATCTTGACATTTCTACCTTCAAACCTCTTCAAGGCTCTCCTTCAAAGATGGTAGTCAAAGGCCTCATAGACCTGCTCACTTTATTCCTTTTACACTTTATTCCTGACATCTCTACATGCTGAACAAACTTGATGATACCCATTCCCACCCATGCTGCAGGCCTGCCCAACATCTCAGAGTTTGCACATGTGCCCAAGGTTGAAACCCAACCCATTTCTCAAGTCCAGCCTAACTTAATTACCTCTACATCTCCACAAAGCCTTCTGGACCCCTGGCAGGAATGTCTCAGAATTTCCTGAGTTTCCTCACCACTTTGTACTCTTCTAATACTTACCATCCTCTTTCTTGGATAACTCAGATAATAAGCAAGCTGAGGTCAAGGACTGTCTTTGGTTTATCTTTGTCTATCCTACAGGGTCTAGAGCAAAGCTCTAGCAATTGGCAGGCACCCAAATATTTGAATACAACTGAAAAACTGTACTAGAAAAATAAGTATGCACTAGTTACACCAAATATTCTGGTATTGTTTATTTTGTGATCCACACTCTACCCACTCCCTCTGAGTAAGCATCCCAGAGTCGTCTTGTTTTGTTTCCCTTTTCAGAGTCTCAAAAAGGCCCATCCTTGAACCTTGTTGTCCAGAAGTTAATGACAAGCATGCTGGCATCAAGCTCTAACTTCATCTCCTACTCCAAGCATTTCAGCCACAAATTTTCCTATTCTGGCTTTAAGATCAAAAGCTAACAATCTGGCAATTTCTGGGAACTTCTGACCCACATCAGCATCAGATACCAAAATGATGTCACATAGCTCTCCAAAATTGTCAGTAAGAGCACACTGATGAGACAGGGGCCATGGAAGCAAATTTACAAATGTGACATGACAGATTGCCAAAGAGGCAGGTGGATGAGCAAGACAAGCATATAGTCAAAACATTGCAATCCTAAAGGCAGCTTTGTGTCTGCTGGGGAGGAAGATGGTGAGGATTCGGGCTGAGACATCACTGAGGCGAGGAAAGTTGGTTTCTTGGTGCCATCTCTCCAATCCCTTCAGCAGATGTCACTGCACAAATCTCCTTGATATATTCTCCTTACTAGGGCCCTGAGTGCTATCTTGTGTTCATAACAAGTTCCTAGGTGGTGTGAACGGTTAACTCATTAGGCTACTAATAAAAACGTTGGAGGTTCGAGTCTACCCAAAGGCACCTCGATAGGTCCGGTGATCTGCTCCTGAAAAAAACCAGCCACTGAAGACCCTTTGGAACACAACTCTATTGTGACATACATGGGGTAACCACTGATGGCAAGTGTTTTTGTGTGTTAGCTTATATAGTACTTTCAGGTTTTGCCCCATCCCCACCAAGTATTTCCATGTATACAACCTCTCTTCACATTTCTGTCAGCTGTAAAAAGAGCTAGGGGAAGAATGTTACATGTAATCGGTAAGGAAACTAAGGCATAAGAAGTTCCATCTCTGACTAGGCTTAGTCACCAATAAGTCAGTGATAGTTGCACATCTGTATCCAAGCCACCTTCTCACTGCATCAATGTTCTTTCAACCTTTTCCTCTGATATCAGGAATATCCCTTAGCTTGCTGGGACACCTGGAAGGTGAGTGGTCCTTTTAGCTCCTTTCCAGGGAAGGAGAGGAAGAGAGGAAATGGCAAGCCTGACCCCAGGGTAGATCTACACTGGGTAGACTTGATATTATGCAATGCCTTTCTTTTGAGGAAGTTTTTGAAATCTGGGGTAAAGGATCTGACTATCTCCTAGGAACAATTTCAGTCACACTAATATTATATTAATAATATTAATATATTAAGGAGCTCTGGTAGTGTAGTGGTTACGAACCGGGCTGCTAATCTCATGGTCAGCTGTTTGAAACTACCAGCTGTTCCGTGGGAGAAAGATGAGGATTTCTGCTCCTGTAAAGATTTACAGCCTTGGAAACCCTGTACAGGGTTGCTATGAGTCGGAACCGACTCCACGGCACATAACAACAACAACAATATTATATTGGAGTCCTGCTGTGTTGCTGTAGGATAAGCCCTGGACTGTTAACTGCAAGGTAGGCAGTTCAAATCCACCAGTCATAACTTGGAAACCCTATATAATGGTTCCTGAGAGTTGGACCCAATTTGACGGCACTTAACAACAATGTTATATTTGTCCTCATTCTCCTTCACACATCACCCCATTCAGTGATTATAATAAGAGCCCAATCTCAGAAGCAGTACTCATAGGTGATATTTTACTCCTGAATCCTGGAATTCGGTCAATTCTACAGCTGGAATGCTCCCTAGAAGTGACAGATACTTTGTCTCTCATATGTTGGACATGTCAGAAAAGCCACTTCCTGGAGAAGGACATCATACTTAGTAAAAAGGAAGGTTAGTGAAAAAGAGGAAGACCCTCAATGAGATGGATTGACACAGAGGTAGTGCCAGTGGGCTCAAACGTAACGCTTGAGGATGGAGCAGGACCGGGCGGGTTCCGCTCTGTTGTGCGCAGGGTCACTATGAGTCGGAACTGACTTGACAACAACGCCTAACAACAGTACCATATTCTGTTCAGCTACATCTGACCATAGTGATTCACAGATCTAAGGATTTCCTAAGTCCTGACTTGCTTCTCGAGGTACCAAAAAAATAACGGATAGTAGAATAAAAGAAGAAATGAAGGAGATAATCCAAATTCAAAAGCAACAGCCCAGATGGACCCACAGGATCTTACTGCATCTAAGTTGAACTGGAGAACTTGCCTTAGTTTCTTTCCCTTAAATGGACTG